GTTCAGCAGCCAGCCCTACTTGTAATACCCCCTCATCTCAGGCCTTCTGGTTTCAGGCCCTCTTATCTCACATGATGCCACCAACCCAGCCTCTCCTCCCTCCAAGCCAAACTGCAGGGCAGCCTCCCTAACTCTGCAGAGTTGTGTGTATGTATTTTTTTTTTAGTTTTTAAAAAAATTTTATTAAATTTTGGCTGCATTGGGTCTTCATTGTGGTGCACTGGCTTATCATTGCAGTGGCTTCTCGTTGCGGAGCACCTGCTCTAGGCGCTTGGGCTTTAGTAGTTGCAGCACACGGGCTCAGTAGTTGTGGCACACAGGCTTAGTTGCTCCGCGGCATGTGGGATCTTCCCGGACCAGGGCTCGAACCCATGTCCCCTGCATTGGCAGGTGGATTCTTAACCACTGCGCCATCAGGGAAGTCCCAGTCACCCACAGTTTTAATACTTGATTCTAACTACAAGCTCTTTGGTACACACTTCACTGCTGATCTTGTTGAAAAGGCAGCATTGTTTTAGAGGTGAGGACAGAGGAAGGAAGACAGGAACAGCTGGGAGACTTGGGACTGGCTGTTGACAAATGTGTTTGAAGAATGAAGATGACTGAACCTGATTTAGGGAGCAGGATAGTGGATGAGAGGAGATATGGGCAAGACATTGCAGGCAAAGGAGGTGCAACTTCTTGTTTACTTTTAGGTCTTTCCATCTATCATTATTATTCATTATGAAATGTTTTTGAAGGGAAACTGTTATATTTACAAACCTTAGAATGAGTCTGCCACCTTTAAAAATAATTTCTAGGATTTTGGCTTAAATTGGTTTTCAAATTTATTTTCAGACAGCTCTGCTTGTGTATCCATTAATTCTTTAACTTGGACTCTACTGTCGTAAGAATTCCCAAGCAAATTAATCAAGTCAGTGTTGCAAATACTGGTTTGTGTATTGATGAGTATTGTGTAGCCTATACTTTAATTTTAACCCACTTAAAGAAATAATTTTGTTAGGTTTCTAAGAAATTGCATTTCTATTATAAATGTATTTTCAGTCAGTGCTGACCACTTCACCTTTATAGCTGTGTTCTCTCCTTTTTTTTTTTTTTTTTTTTTTGCAGTACGCGGGCCTCTCACTGCTGTGGCCTCTCCCGTCGCGGAGCACAGGCTCCGGACACGCAGGCCCAGCGGCCATGGCTCACGGGCCCAGCCTTTCCGCGGCATGTGGGATCCTCCCGGACCAGGGCACGAACCCGTGTCCCCCGCATCTGCAGGCGGACTCTCAACCACTGCGCCACCAGGGAAGCCCTGTTCTCTCCTTTTTTGATTGTCTTCTTCAAAAAGAAAAGCAAAAGAAAAGCAAAACCCAGACACAAAGAAATGGCTAACTTTCTGGTTGGATGTCCCTGGGGGTAAAAAAGTAGTTAATTGATAACTAACTCTGTGCCAGGCATTATTTGACCATCACAGAAATCCTGGAGTAGGTATTGTTATTATGTGTGTTTTACAGATGAGGAACCGGATGATTGGAGAGTTTAACTTGCCTAAAGCTAAACACTTTGGTGCTGTCAGAGGTGGATCTCAAATCTTCATCCTTTTTGCTGTTAGTCACCAGCATTGCGAAGAGGATTAAGGTGTAAATTTGTTCTCCTTCTCTCCCTCCCTTCCTTCATTTTTTTCTCCCTCACTCCCTTTCCCTCTCTTTCTTTTCTCTCTATTTTTTTGCTCAGTCTCCCCTTTCAATCTTTACACACAAATAGTTTCTTTATGCCAGGCACAAATGCTCCACAATTAATTCAATTCTCCTATCAACTCTGTGGAGTAGAAACCATGATCATTAACGTCATACAGAGAAGAAAGCTGAGGCAGAAAGGGGTTAAGTAACTTGTCCAAGGTCAAACATCTTGTCAGTGTCATTTCAACACTAGAATATGAAATAAACAGGTGAGTTATATTTTCTAGAATCTTAATCTCATTAATGTAAGCCTTCCAAACAGGCACGACTGTTCTTTTCCCCGATAAAGTGGAAATGCCATAGCTGACAGATTAGCATGGTTTATGAAGGCAGAAAGGACGAGACTGGAAGCATTGTACCAGCCCAGGAGGCAGCGTCTGGAGTCAAAGGGTCTGCTGTGTCCTGGACACCCAACAAGACTTCTGTTGAGCAGAAGAGCGGGCCACGCAGCCGGGGGAAAACGAGGCTGAAGTCACCAGGGGCAGAGCCTTAAACGCCAAGCTGGGGATCGCTCTCGGTAGGACCAGGGCCCCTGGGTCTGGCAGCTGGACAGAGGTCTCCCGGGAGGTGGACTCCGGAACGAGGACCTTCAAAGAGGAGGCGGGGCTGCTTGCGAAGGGTCAAAACTGTAGCAGGAGAGCCCGGAAAGACTGTGCGGGGGTGGAGCTTGCGAAGCTGGAGTGACAGGGAGAGGAGGGATTGTGCGGGGGTGGAGTTTGCGGAGGAACAGGCCTAGTGGAGGGGCGGTCTTTTGGTGGGCGGGGCTCGAGGGCGGTCTCTTGGTGGGCGGGGGCTCAAGGAGGGGCGGAGCCCTCGGAGGGGGCGGGCCGGGTCCTATCGTGTCACAGCGTCAGCTCTGGAGGGACGGGCCTGAAGGGGCGGAGCCCGCAGGGGGCGCGACCCTGCCTGACCACCTCGGCGAATCCAGTCCTGCTGGCCGCGCGCAGCCCGCAGCCCGCCGCCCTGCTCCGTGCCCACCAGCATGTCTTTCGTCCCAGTGGCCGAGGATTCCGACTTCCCCATCCACAACCTGCCCTACGGCGTCTTCTCCACCAAAGGCGACGTGAGCTGCAGCGCTCGGTTTCCGGGCGCGGGGAGGGAGGGCTTCCCCTCCGCCCGGGACCCCCACGCCGCCTTCCTGCTCCGCCCCTGGCCTCAGCCCAGCCCTGCCACCTCCGCCAGCACCCGACGGAGCAGGACATCGGGCCTGTCGTTTCCCTGCTAGACGCCTCTCGCGAAGACCGCCGGTGTCATTTGGGGCCTAACGAGCGGTGCCTCGCATTCTCCTCCCTGGGGAGTGCGATGGGAGGTGGGGTGGGGGCAGGGGCCTTTTTTCTTTGGAGGGGCCGATCATGGAGAGTACTTGTGGGTTCAGATCCCTCCTGGTAACTTTCTAGATGTGCAAGTTATTGAAATTCTCAGCCTCAGTTTCTGCAGGTTTGTGTGAGAATTAAACGCAAAATGAAACGATACGTATGAGTCTCCCTTTCAGGTAGGCAGAGCAAGTTCTCTTATTATTACAGAGGAGTTGAAGCACAATCATACTGCCTACTCCGAAGTCATTTGGCTTTGTTGTCTTCCCCCAGGGCACCACGTTGTAACCGGTTGTTTTCTCCCAGGTTAGCCTCTAACCCTAGAACTCGGGAAACATTAACTGACCCGGTATTTTCAGTAGCTCGGAGGGATGATCGCCTTTGCTGGCAGTAGAGGCCTGGGATCTAAGAGGTTACGTTTCTTTACTTCCAGCTGGCCTTCTTTCAGCTCCCTGGGCTCCCTGGCATATCCTTGCTGATCAGAAGAAGCCCTTTTGGGCAGAGAAATGAAATTTCACTTAGTAAGTGTAGTCTGATTGGCAGAAAGAAATCTTTGAAAACTGGGGGTTTATCAACAAATATATAAGAAGGTCCCTGGGTGGGGAAAGCAGATTCCCCTGGATTTATTCATGGTATTTTGGGCTTAGCTTTCTGCTCCCAACTTTAAAGGTAAACTCCTGATTCATAGAAGCCCAGAATCTGCTTGCGCCCAAGTGTTCGGGAACCGTTTGCTAAATGGAGTTCCTGTCAGTTAGCCCCTTCCTGGAAACTGGGTTCCCTGCCCCCATGGCAAAAAATGCCTAGGTCTAGAAGATTCAACATGTGGTTTCACAACTGCCTGGCCTGGCCAGTTGTTGCAAGGATGCAAAAAGGTAACACTCAGTCCCCTGGAGGGCCGCAAGTACAAATAAGAGGCATGTTAAACCTTAACCTGTGTTAGCCAAGTGCACTCTGCTGGCGAACCCTCCCCTGCACTCCTCTGACACTTTGTCCTCAGCTGTGTGTCCTCAATCTTTACTCCACAAATCCATTAGGCAGAAGCCTTTGGGGGGGGGGGGCGGTGCTCTGACTTGCTCTCCCAGAAGATTCTGGAATGAATGCCCCTTAGGGTATGGCTAGTGACTTTCAGACTCCATGCCCCAGCTGTTCCACATTAGAATGTGCAAGGACAGCCACTAGGGAGGTTCACTGCCCTCTGAAAAGAGTGCTGGGGGTTGGGGGTGGGCCCCCTGGGCATTGCAGAAGGCTGAGGGCCTTCAAGTGGAACAGGCTGTGTCTGAAGCTATGGCTGCAGGCACTGGACATTCCAAAGGTGGTGGCTGCCTCTCCAGGCTGACCTGGTCGCCGAGGCACAGCCTCCCTCTCCTCCATGCCAGTGGCCAGCCGTGCATAATTTGGGTGGAACAATAGTGAATTAATCCGGCTTTCATTTTGGTCATTCTTTTATTCAGTAAGTGCTTATGAACCCCAACTCTGGGCCAGATTCTGGGCTGGGAGTTGGGGATCAAAGGCACACGGGACACCCTCCCTCCATCTTGGATTGCTCATGGACTAGAGCAGACCCTGGCTCTCTCTGTGAAGACAGGGACCGTGGCTTCTGAGAAACAGATGCTGCAGTAATCTGGAGCTGACGGCCAAGGTGCTCAAGTCCCCATGGTTCCAGCCCTGCCTCTGCCTCCAGACCCTCTGTTCTCTCTAGCCACACTGGCTGCCTTTCAGTTTCTGAAACATTCTTTTTTAAAAATATTTATTTATTTACTTTGGCTGCGCTGGGTCTTAGTTGCAGCACTGGGGATCTTTTAGTTGCAGCAAACTCTTAGTTGCAGCATGTGGAATCTAGTTCCTCAACCAGGGATCGAACCCAGGCCCCCTGCATTGGAGGCACAGAGTCTTAACTGCTGGACCACCACGGAAGTCCCAGTTTCTGGAACTTTCTAAGAGCAGTTTCCTGCCTCAGGACCTTCGCACGTATTGTTCTTTCTATCTGGAATACTCTTTTTTTTCCTACTCTATGTATGCCTGAGTTCTTCTCACTCTTCTGGGCCCAGCTTAAATGTCACCTCCTCAGAGAGAGCTGTCCCCTAAGCATCCTCACTGAACTCCAGCTACAGTTATCGTCTGTCACCTCACCGTGTGCTTCCTTTTGCTTCTGGAGGGTGGGAACCACGTCTCTCCTCTATCGTCAGTGCTTCTGCAGCCTTAGTATACTGCTGGGATGAAGTAGATGCTCCATAAATTTTTTTGTCTGAGTGAATGTCTGCTCTGTGTCTGGTCTGGTGATAAGAGATTTACAGATGTTAATTAATTGAATTCTCACTACAAACTTGCTGTTGTGCTACTGTCCCCATTTTACAGATGAGGAAACTGAGGCTCAGAGAGGCTAAGAGTCCTGCTCCAGGTCTCACAGCCAGTAAGAGGCAGATTTGGGGTTGCACCCCACAGCTGTGAGCTCCCAAACCCCATGCTTTTCCCTCTGTCAAGCTGGGAGGTGGGTAAAGATTTCCTTTGGACAACATTCTATCGGATATGACCAAATGTTATAAAGCGGAGGCAATGCACACGCATTCTCTTAAAGTTAGACATAGGATATCTCTTACTAATTTGTCTCCCTCAGGTTATACATGGCAACCTGAGGCCCTCAGAAGACCAAGGACTTGTCCAAAATGATAAGATGGTGAATGACAGAGTAGGCAGGACCCCAGGGATTGGGAGTCTAACACTGAAGAAAATAACTCCCAACAGTTAAAGTAGAGGGACTCATTCTCTCAGGTCCTCACGTCTAGGTCTAAAAGATTCAACATGTGGTTTCACAATTGCCAGGGTTTGGAACACAAGGGCAGCTTCTTGCCATTGCTTGCAGCCGAGGAGGCAGGCAGCCACACTTGTGATTACGTCTCTGATGTTGCTCAGTGGCCTCGGCTCCTTCCTGCAGCTTTGTGTGGGGGCCAGGGTCAGGGAATTGGCCCAGGGGTCTGCCTGCATATCCCTTAAGTGGGCAGCCACTGGGGTCCAGGTGGCCCAGCTCTTTGCCCAGGGATATGAGGCCCAGGGAGCTGGGAATGAGGACCACCCTCTCCAGGCAGCTTCCTCATGGGCAGGGTCTGCCCGGGGCCTCAGGGCTAGGTGAGGGTGTGGCTCCGGTCTACCCCTGTGCACAGAGGGATAGCCATCTTCTCTCAGCCCCCTAAATGAGCAGCCACTGGAGATAAGGCCAGCCAGTAGCCCCACCTCTAAACTCCCTGGAACTGAAATGGCAAAGCTGGTGGTTCAGGAGAGCTGGAAGCTCAGCTCAGGACAGAGCTTTAGGAGGTCGAGTCTGCAGACATGCTCTCAGGTTCCTTGTTGATGAGCAAATTTCAGGGCCATGTGGACAAAGGTCAGGCTTTGCCAAATATTTGCGACATTGTCACGCTCAGGGCTGAAGCTGGGATTTGATGGTGCAGAAAGGAACTTTTCCTGCATGCTCTGAGTAGTCTGGCTTCATGCTCCCTGGTGACCCGAACTCTGCTCTGTTTGAGCCGTAACAGAGCTCATTACTCATTAGTCCAAGCCCCTGGCCTTCAGCACTGTGCCTGGGACACGCTCTGCTGTGCAGAGGAATTGCCGCCAAGGGAAGGCCTAGGTTAAACCTGAGAAATAATCCAGTTGCCTGGTGAGGTGGTGAGCTCTTCATCACCAGAGGCATTTAAGCAACACCTGAGGAGCTTTGCTGGGGACTTTGCCTGGATAAGGGGCTTGGACTAGGCCTCTTTCAAGTTACCCACTCCAAGGGGTGTTTGATTTATTTTCCATTCAGGAAACACACATTCTTTTCCCCTCTTGTCCTAGAGGCAGACATGGCACCAGGTTCTTCCCGGACAGAGATCACAGGGTCAATTTCAGCCCTCTGAGAGGCAAAGGGAGCTGGGGTACGGTGCTAAGGATCCAGTTCCTCAGTCCCTCTCCATAGAGGGCCATGTAAAGACAAGAGCCATGGGTTCGTAAATAGACAGACTTGCTGGGTAAGTGAGCCAAGCCCGGCTGAGGCTTTGCCCAGTGCTGACCATGCCACCTTCCTCCCAGCCAAGACCAAGGATCGGCGTGGCGATTGGTGACCAGATCCTAGACCTCAGTGTCATTAAGCACCTCTTCACTGGGCCTGTCCTCTCCCAACACCAGGATGTCTTTGATCAGGTAGGACATTGTGACATGGCTTGTCCTGGATCTCAGTGGCCTTTGTTGCAAATGCCACTAAGAAAGTGCCCTTTGCCTTCCGTTTCTGATAGAGGTAGTGCCTTGAGGGCTCAGAGATTTTACTTGGGTAAGGTTGGGGGCTGGCTGTGAGACAGACAGGCTGGCAGGAGGTAGCCTTGGGACAGCGCAGGGTGGGTTCCTGGGTGAGAAGAGTGTCAGTCCCGGGCTTCCCTAGTGGCGCAGTGGTTGAGAGTCCGCCTGACAATGCAGGGGACGCGGGTTCGTGCCCCGGTCCGGGAAGATCCCACATGTCGTGGAGCGGCTGGGCCTGTGAGCCATGGCCGCTGAGCCTGCACGTCCAGAAAAAGAGTGTCAGTCCCGGGCTTCCCTAGTGGCGCAGTGGTTGAGAGTCCGCCTGACAATGCAGGGGACGCGGGTTCGTGCCCCGGTCCGGGAAGATCCCACATGTCGTGGAGCGGCTGGGCCTGTGAGCCATGGCCGCTGAGCCTGCACGTCCAGAAAAAGAGTGTCAGTCCCTCCGCAGTCCTAGGCCCTCCCCAGTTGTCTCTGAGATGATGCCCTCCAATAACTGGTTCATTTCCTCATTTTAAGCTGGTTGAGTCTCTGCTTGTTCCAGGCCGGTGCTGGGCCCTCCGAGGGACGGAGCCATGAGCCCTGCCCTCCGGGTTTGATTCCAGCCTGGGAAGAATGGACAGCTTGCCCCAAGTGCCCTCTGTGTTGCCACCACTTTAGGAGTCAGCCTGAAGGATACGTACATGAGTGATGGACGTGAATTTACTTCCCTGTAAACGGTCCAGTGCTTTGGTGTGCATCCTCCCTCCCGTTCCATGGAAGGGAGATGATATGTATTGAGTACCTCCTATGTGTCAGGAGTTTTACACACATCTCTTGTTCAATTCTCATGATGACCCTCTGGCATAGGAATGGAATCCTCATTAGATGGATGAGGGTCTAATCTGAAACGGGACACAATTCTCCCAGGTCAGATGGCTACAAGGATTGGAGCTGGGGTTGGAACTCTGGCCTTGAGAATCCACAGGTGCTTTTTCTGCTGCACTTCACTGGCTCAGAAACCTCTTCTTAACTTATGTGAAGGGGATTGGTGTAGACTGCAGTACGCCTGCAGACCAGAGGCCGCCCCTGGAGGAACGCAGCCATCTTCACTGCAGGCGGGGCCAAGCTTAACCAGGCAGCTGTCCCAGATAGGAGCTCCCAGGCTTTGCCAGTTGCAAGTCCATGAGGGGATGAAGCCCCATCAGGAAAGATGACACATCTCCCCAGCTCGATGAACAGATGACAGAACTAAGAACCAAAGTCCTGAGAGTTTGAATGAACTGGGATAAGTGACAGGGGACCCAGAAAGCTGGCCAGGCTCTCTCCTGTCAGTAGGAGGGGTAGCCCAAGGGGCTTTCCCATGTGTGATCTTTCTTCCTCTGCATCTTGGTCCTAGCCAGCTCTCAACAGCTTCATGGGCCTGGGTCAGGCTGCCTGGAAGGAGGCAAGGGGATTGTTGCAGAACCTGCTGTCCGCCAGCCAAGCCAGGCTCAGAGATGACACGGAGCTTCGGAAGCGGTGAGGAGCCCGTGGACCGTGATGCGTGGGGAGGAGGGGACCTGGCTTGTCGGAAGAGGACGGTGTGGTCGTCAGGGACATTCTGAGTCACGGGTTGGCTGCCTTGGCCTCATCCAGCCCCGACCTGGGCTGCATTTTGGTGAGAGGGCTCTGGGCTGACTGGGATTACCTCTCTGCCTGGACTGGGGTGTCCAGGCCATGCCTGGCCCACCGGCCCACTCCCTTGTTCACTCAGCCATTCCTCTTCAGCATCACTTGTGTCCTTGCCGGGTTTCCAAACAAGGGGTAATTTAGCCCATTGTCTAGAGTGGAACATAGAAGGGGAGAGGCAACTTGTCTTTAGTGGGTGGATGCCCATCCTGGGGTGGCCCCAGGCCAGTCTGGAAGTGCTCACTGGAGATTGTGAGCAGGACTTGGGCCATGATCTAGGCTGAGCCTGTGAATGACCAAAGCTTGACCTTGAAGCCCCTTGTTCTGTGTTTCAGTGCATTCACCTCCCAGGCTTCCGCCACAATGCATCTTCCGGCCACCATAGGTGAGTCCAGTCTCTTTACCAGGATGCACACGGAGCAGCTGGCTGCTCAGGGGCAGGCACAGCTTGAGCAAAGGCCTGGCGACTGGAGCCCACGGGTGGGAGGGGTGTCCGCCACTCTTTTGCAAATTCCATTGTCTGTTTCAGGAAGTCTTGGCTCCTTGTTTCTTTTTCGTTTCTCAACTGGGAGTTCTCAAAACGAATTTTTAGTGAGGCGAATTTGTGTGGCATGTTGGGCATGCTCTCCCGGCCCCTTCCTCCCACCCCTCCTTGTTCTCCCGCTCCGACCCTGCCTCGGAACTGGCCCTTCTCGGACCTGCGGAATCCAGGTCACTGACAGCATCTCCCGACCTTTCCCCCCGCAGGCGACTACACGGACTTCTATTCCTCTCGGCACCACGCCACCAATGTCGGAGTCATGTTCAGGGGCACGGAGAACCCGTTGATGCCCAATTGGTATGTTCTGGACCAGTGTGTGGCTAAGTTCCAAGTCTGTCTTTACGTGCCCGGCAGCGTGTTGTCCCAGGAGCTGCCAAGTCCTCTCAGGTTAAGGAAACCCGGGAGGAAAGCTAACAATGACCATGATGTCACCACTTCCGGAAACAGTGGCCTCAGACTCTGGTCCTCCTCTCCCCTCAGCCCTGGACCTGCTGTGGTATCATGGGGACTTCCCTTAAGCTCTTTGATCTAGAGAACACGGGTTGGAATTAGATCCTGACTCACTAACATTCTTCCAGATCCTTTTGTTTGTAAGCTGTGAATTATGGTTCTATTGGCAAGTCTTCCATGCCAGTATTCTCCATACTTAGACTCTTCTGATAGATGAGAATCCTCAAGTGTGCCCAGTGCTGTGTTTTCTCAAAGAGTGGTCAGCTCGAAACGGGGGCTGCATTTATTTATTTGATCCTCATAGGGGTTCTTTGGGGTCGCCAAGGCTATGACTGACACCCCCATTTCACAGGAAGGGAAACAGACTTAGAGAAGGAGCAACTTGCCTGAGGACGTACAGGGCCAAAGGCTGTCTCCTAACACCCAGGTCAAGGCCATTGCCGGAGCCTAGAACACAGAGCCAAGATCCTTGCCCTTTGCTGTGTGTTGTCCTCTAGATGTGACGGTTATTCAGAGCACAGTGGCAGGCACACGCCCCAGGCCGAGTGCCCTGGGCCACACACAGTCACTGGGGTGGACAGAGACTTTCCCCTCTTTTAGTGGGTGTTTCAGATAAGCTGTGCCAGAAGGGGCTGCGTCTGTCAGAACCAAGAGGAAGAAGGGGGAAGAGAGTGGGTTACAACCCAGAGAAGTTAAGCAACCAGGCCAAGGTTGCAGAACAAGGCCAGGGTGCATCTAGGACTGCAGGAGGCCAGTGAGTCAAGACTCTGGCCCTGTGCATGGTCCAGGCCAAGTGGGGGAGTCTCAGCCCGTTTCCTTCTGCAGGGTAAGAGCAAACAGGCTTTCTCTCTCAATGTTTGATGCAAAGTGGTCGGCGGCTGTGCCTTTTTTACTTTATGCATATATCCTTTATTATAAAGTTAATATATGCTTGTTGTGATTAACCGAAACAGAAAATACATAAAATACATAAAATAAAACACTAGAAATTTAAAATGTGCATACCATTGGACCCACAGTCTTACTTTCATGCATCTATCCTACAGAAATAACGTTTGTATTCAAGGGCAAAGATGTTTACCAGCAATCTTTCTAAGGACCCAAAGCTGGAAGCAATCTGAATGGTTATTGGTGGAGGACTAGTTGAAAAATCATGGTCTGTTCACAATATGAAATGTTTTGTAGCTGTTGAAAGAAAGATTTAGGATCAAAAGTCATGTGCATGATATATATATATATATATTTTTTTTAATAGGTTTTATTTATTTATTTATTTATTTTTGGCTGTGTTGGGTCTTTGTTGCTGCGCGCGGGCTTTCTCTAGTTGCGGGGAGCAGGGGCTACTCTTCGTTGCAGTGCCCGGGCTTCTCACTGCGGTGGCTTCTCTTGTTGCAGAGCACGGGCGCTAGGCACGCAGGCTTCAGTAGTTGTGGCATGCGGGCTCAGTAGTTGTGGCTCGCAGGCTCTAGAGCACAGGCTCAGTAGTTGTGGCTCGCGGGCTGTAGAGCACAGGCTCAGTAGTTGTAGCTCACGGGCTTAGTTGCTCTGCTGCTTGTGGGATCTTCCCAGACTAGGGCTGAAACCCATGTCCTCTGCATTGGCAGGTGGATTCTTAACCACTGCGCCACCAGGGAAGACCCACTTTCATGATATATGAAGTGAAGGTATTGTGTAAAGTGAGTTCTCATTTTTATAAAAAGACAAAGAAAAATATATGTACATTCATACTGTATTAGTTTCTTGTGGTGGCTATAACCAATTACCACAAACTCGGTAGCTTAAAGCAACACAGTTATATTCTCTCACAGTTCTGGAAGTCAGAAGTTTGAAATCAGCTTCACTAGGCCAAAGTTAAGGTGTCGGCAAGGCTGGTTCCTCTGGGAGGCTCTAGGGGAAGAATCCATTTCCTTGTCTTTTTCAGCTTCCAGAGGCTGCCCATGTTCCTTGGCTTGGGACCCCTGCCTCAGATAACTCCACCCTCTTGGTTCTGTTACACACCAGGGTTCTTGGCCTTCCCCAAGCAATAGAAATTGACTAGAGGCCAGACAAGAAATTCAGGCAAGGCTTATTGGGGCCCCTGCTGCAGCCACCGGGAGAGAGAACAAACAACAGGTTCCCTTGCTTGCTCGCTCCCCAAGGAGGGGGCAAGCTTGCTCCTTATATGGGGTGAGGGTAGGGGTGTGTCCAGGGGTCGGGCCAGGGGGGTGGCTTAGGTGTTTTGCCCGCCCCTTAGGTGGTGTTGTGTGCAGGGGGCATGCGCAGTACCCTGCTTTTGCTCCTGACACCCTGTTTTTGCCCCAGACTCTTCAAAAGTGGCAGTTGGGATTTTTTTGGTCTCTTTGTATCTTTTGGGTCCAGAATTTGCCCCAACTGTGCATGCACATGCACACATTTATTTTTAGTCCTATACAGTTTCTTAGTATTTTGTTGCTCATGGAGAGGTGTGTCCATGTGCCAGGATCGCGGCACTGCAGCAAAGGGTCTCAGGTCCCATCCTGTCTCAGTTCCATCTGCAATTGTCCTAATTCCTTCTTTGACTTTCTTGCCTCCCCTTTATAAGGACCCTTATGATTACATTTAAGGACCACCTGGATGATTCAGAATAATCTCTACCATCTCAAGATCATTGACTTAATCACATCTGCAAGTCTCCTTTGCTATAGAAAGTAACATGTACAGGTTCCAGGGAATAGGACCTGAATATCTTTTTTGTTTTATGGGCCGTGCCTCATGACTTGTGGGAGCTTATTTCCCCGACAAGGTATCAAACCCACTCCCCCTGCATTGGAAGCATGGAGTCTTAACTCCACTGGACCATGAGGGAAGTCCCAGGACCTTGGTATCTTTTGAGAGGCTATTACTGAGCCTCACACACACACATGCACACTCATACGTGTACACACACATATACCTACACAGATACCTACACATATACACACACTCGTACATACACATACACACACACACATGCACACATTTGCCTAGACTGCTGTAAGCGTAGAGAAAAGTCCAGAGTAATAGATTCCAGACCAACTTTACTTCCTTCAGGGGAGTGGCTGGATGGGGAGAGCTGACTAACTTCTGTGCTATTTGAATCATTACATGTAATGTAATTGCACGCAGTTGTATTTTATAACTTAAGCCAATAAGGGGAGCAAAGGGGGAGAAAAGGGAAACCCCCAGCCCACTCCCCAGAGGCCATTACTCTGAATGGTGGCTGGCCCATCGCCTTCACCTCTTCAGGTTATGGGTGTGCGTGCGCACACACACACACACACACACGGACACGCACGGACACATACACGTTTCATATCTGTAGTTAACAAAACGAGACCATGCTGACTGACATTTGCGTTTTTCACTTTAATATGTCATTGACGTTGTTCCGTGTAAATAAACTTAAATCTACCTCAGTCTTTATGAAAATAGTTTTTTTTTTGATTAGGTAATATAAGGCAAATGCATGGTAAATTGCCGTTTATCTAACAAGATGTGAAAAATACTAGACAGTGGTAAAAGTGTATAGAAATATCAAGGGACAGTAAATTCCAGGTGGTGGCCCCCTCTGGGGTGGGGTCAGGAGGGGTGGGAAGCAGAGGGAAGGGACCGGGAGGGCTACAAAGGGGGTGTTATTATTATTTTTTGGTGTTTTTGCCACGCGGCACATGGGATCTTAGTTCCCAGACCAGGGGTCTAACCCATGCCCCCTGCAGTGGAAGCGTGGAGTCTTAACCACTGAACCTCCAGGGAGATCCTTATGAAGGGGGCGTTTTTAATTGGCTTAGAAAGCCTGTTGGTGCTCTGTGGTTATTTGTCTTATTATATCTTTTTGTATATCATAAATATTGCAAAATACATTTTCAAACATTTAAAAAACTAAAAGCTACAAAAAATCATCAATGCATGTACACAGTCCTGAATTCCAAAGGAATTTATGGGTAAGCAGTGGGAACAAAGCAAGATTCTCCCACCCTGTCTTTCATCCTCCTTCCTTTCTCTGAAGGCAAAACCGTTATCAGCTGCTTAGAGATTCTTTCACAGATATTCTACACAGTCAGTGCTCTCTTACTAATTTGAAAGACTGTTTTGTGCTGAATAGAAATTAACCCTTTGTTGTAATGCAGTGCAACTCTTTTCTCCCAATGTGGCATCTTTTTACTTTATTTGCTGTCTTTCTTGATGCAGAAATTTTACCTTTCTATAAAGTCAAACATGTCAATCATTTCCTTCATGGCGTTTACTTTTTTTTTGTTTTCTTTTCGGTACGCGGGCCTCTCACTGTTGTGGCCTCTCCCGTTGCGGAGCACAGGCTCCGGACGTGCAGGCTCAGCGGCCATGGCTCACGGGCCCAGCCGCTCCGCGGCATGTGGGATCCTCCTGGACCGGGGCACGAACCCACATCCCCTGCATCGGCAGGTGGACTCCCAATCACTGCGCCACCAGGGAAGCCCGGCATTTACTTTTATGTCGTGCTCAGACTTTCTCCACCTCAGGAATTTGAAGATTTGGGGAGTATTTTTTCCTAGTACTTCTTAGAGCCTTACTCTGCATAAATTCTGATCTATAATCCACTGGGGATTTCCTTTTGTGTGTGATGTGAGGTGTGGGTCTGTATTCGTTTCCTGGACTGCTGTAACAAACTGCCATACGCTGGGTGGCTTAAAACCACAGAAATTTATTATCTCGCAGTTCTGAAGGCCGCAGGTCTGGAATCTAGGTTTTGGCAGGGCCTCACTCCCTCTGGAGGCTCCAGGGGACAAGCCATCTCCCTGCTTGTCCAGCTCTGGTGGCTGCAGGCCATCCTTCCTGGGCAGCATCACTGCAGACTCTGCCTCTGTCTACACAGGGCCTTTGCCTCTTCTCTTTGTTTCCTCTTGTGTGTCTCTTATAAGGACACTTGTCACTGGATCTAGGGCCCACCTGGCTAATCCAGGAGGACCTCATCTCAAGATCCTTAACTTAAACCCTTTTTCCAAATAAGGTCGAGTTTGCATTTTCTAGGGGTCAGGACGTAGACATACTTCCAGGGAACCATATTCTACCCATTATGGGATCTAACTTATCTTGTTATGCAAAAACGTTTTTCACTTTTTATGTATTATGTTCTTTGTTTTAACCAGCTTGTTCAATTGGTCTGTTCCTAGCAGTACCGTACCGTAAATCACCTTATGATGGTGTTTCGATGCTTGGGAGTTCTTTCCTCTTTCATTTCCTCTCCCATATTTCTGTCTTATAAACAGAGCTCTTGACAGTGTTCCTGTGCTCTGAATGGCTCTCCCGCTCTGAGCTTTATGATCTAGTCCCCGGGTCCCGTTGTAGTAGGTAGGGAGGGGTCTACAGGGGAAGCAGCAGAACTTTGTGGTCGGAGAGACCCAGGTTTGAAGTCCAATGGCAGCACTTCACACGGGGTCACCTCGGCCAAGCCTTGGATGCTCCCGAGCCTGAGTTTGCTCAGCGCTGTCCCATTACGCCTACCGTGCAGGGCTGTTGTGAGGAGGGCATGAAAAGGGAAACAACAGGAAAGCACCCCATGTGATGCTGCGTATTCTAAGTGCAGAGTACATACACAGTAACCATTTCAGTTATTCTGCGTGTATTTGCATCAGCACCATATTGATGCTGGAGACAAGGATGGGAGGAAATCGTACTTTTTCCCACTGTTTAAGTACCTTTTGCTTTTTTTAAAAATGTAAATTGCACATAACAAAATTTACATCTTAAGCATTTTTAAGTGCACAGTTCAGTGGCATTAGTACATTCATATTGTTGTGCAGCCATCACCACCATCCATCTCCACAAGTTTTTCATCTTTTCAAACTGAATCTCTGGACTCATTAAAGAATAACTCCCCGTTTCCACCTGCCGCCCCGACAGCCCCTGGCCACCACCATTCTACTTTCTGTCTCTATGAATTTGACTCCTCTAAGTACCTCATGTAAGTGGAATCAGGCAGTATTTGTCCTTTGGTGTCTGGCTCATTTCACTAGCACAATGTCCTTAAGCTTCACCCGTGGTGTAGCCTGTGTCATTATTTCCATTCTTTTTATTGCTGAGCAATATTCCATTGTATGTATAGACCTCATTCTTGCTTATCTATTTATCTATTGCTGGACACTTGGGAGTACCTTTCGACATTTGAACCATGTATATATGTTGACTCCCTTTTTTATTTTATATTGGAGTATAGCCGATTAACAATGTTGTGATAGGGACTCCCCTGGTGGTGCGGTGGTTAAGAATCCGCCTGCCAATGCAGGGGACATGGGTTCGATCCCTGTTCTGGGAAGATCCCATATGCTGCGGAACAACTAAGCCCGTGTGCCACCACTACTGAGCCTGTGCTCTAGAGCCCATGAGCCACAACTCCTGAGCCCGTGTGCCACAACTACTGAAGCCCACGTGCCTAGAGCCTGTGCTTCACACCAAGAGAAGCTACTGCAATGGGAAGCTCGTGCACCGCAACGAAGAATAGCCCCCACTCACCGCAACTAGAGAAAGCCCACACGCAGCAACAAAGACCGAATGCAGCCAATAAGTAAATGAATTAAAAAAAAAACACCCCAATATTGTGATAGTTTCAGGTGTGCAGCAAAGCGACTCAGCCATACATATACATGTAACCATTCTCCCCCAGACTCCTCTCCCATCCAGGCTGCCACTTAACATTGAGCAGAGTTCCCTGTGCTATACAGTAGGTCTTTGTTGGTTATCCATTTTAAAGCTCTCTTTTCTCATCCACTTTTTTTTTTTTTTTTAATATTTATGTATTTATTTGGTTGCGCTGGGTCTTAGTTGCCGCAGGTGGGCTCCTTAGTTGAGGCACATGGGCTCCTTGGTTGCAGCACATGGACTCCTTAGTTGTGGCATGGAACTCTTGGTTGCAGCATGCATGTGGGATCTAGGTCCCTGACCAGGGATCAAACCTGGGCCCCCTGCATTGGGAGTGCAGAGTCTTAACCACTGCATCACTAGGGAAGCCCCTGGTTATCCATTTAAAATATGGCAGCGTATACATGTTGATCCCAAACTCGCTGACTATTCCTTCTCCCTTTCATTTTTAATTTGAAAACATTTTGAAATTTACTTTGCACCTGTAACAGTGTTGATGCTTTCTCTCTCCTTCCTTCCTCAGGCTGCACTTACCAGTGGGCTACCACGGCCGTGCTTCCTCCGTCGTGGTGTCTGGCACCCCAATCCGCAGGCCCATGGGACAGATGAGACCTGATGACTGTAAGTACCCTGCCGTGCTCCACTCTGTGTCCCCACACCCTGAGTTCCATGCCTGGCACTCACTAGCCTCTTTCTGGTATGATTCCAGCTAAGCCTCCTGTGTATGGTGCCTGCAAACTCTTGGACTTCGAGCTGGAAACAGTAAGCCATGTCTTGGTGTTTTATTGGCGTAGAGTCTGTATATACACTAGGGCAGGAGAGCTCCCTGGGATGGCCGCCCTGGATGACAGGCCGTTCCCCCATCTCAGCCATGTTAATGGCAGTCCTGGCTCCCCACTTGGCCATTGGAAGTACTGTCCAGCCTCATTATTCACTCATATTCCATATTTGAAAATTCACCTACTTACTAACAGTTCGTTCCTAACCTCCAGATCAATACTAGCGGGAGCTTTTAGGGGTCACCTGAGGGCATGCACAGGGTGGCAGAAAATTTGAGTCTCCCGATGTGCATGTCCCCATCTGAAGTTGAACAAGGCCCTGCTCTGCCTTCGTGTCTCAGCTCTCATACTGCAAATAAGTGTCCTTTTTACTGTCTTTTCAGTGCCACGTTATTTTCCACTTTTGTGCTTTCCGTTGAGGTGCTAGCTAGTGTTCCCAAGCACAAGAAAGTTGTGATGTGCACCCTGTAGAAAACGTGTGTGCTAGATAAGCTGCCCTGGGGCTGATCGTGCCCGTGCCTTGAGTTCATGTTCATGAATCAGCCACATACAGGCAGACCTTGTCTTACTGCACTTTGCTACATTGCACTTCACAGATATTGCGTTTTTACAAATTGAATGTTCGTGGCAACCCTGCATCGAGCAAAGTCTGCCGGTGCCATTTTTCCAACAGCATTTGCTCACTTTGTGTCTCTGTGTCACATTTTGGTAATTCTCATAATATTTCTTTTCTTTTTTTTTTTAAATAAATTTATTTTATTTATTTATTTTTGGCTGCATTGGGTCTTCGTTGCTGTGCGCGGGCTTTCTCTAGTTGTGGCGAGCGTGGGCTACTCTTCATTGTGGTGCGCGGGCTTCACATTGCAGTGGCTTCTGTCGTTGCAGAGCATGGGCTCTAGGCGCGTGGCTTCAGTAGTTGTGGCGCATGTGCTCAGTAGTTGTGGCTCTCCGGATCTAGAGCGCAGGCTCAGTAGTTGTAGCACACTGGCTTAGTTGCTCTGCGGCATGTGGGATCGTCCCAGATCGAACCCATGTCCCCTGCACTGGCAGGCAGATTCTTAACCACTGTGCCACCAGGGAAGTCCCTCTTTTTCTAAAAAAAAAAAATTAATTAATTAATTAAGTTTTGGCTGTGTTGGGTCTTCGTTGCCAGGCTCCGGCTCTCTCTAGTTGCGGTGAGCGGGGGCTGCTCTTTGTTGTGGTGCGCGGGCTTCTCACTGCGGTGTCTTCTCTTGTTGTGGAGCATGGGCTCTAGGCACATGGGCTTCAACAGTTGTGGCACACAGGCTCAGTAGTTGTGGCACACAGGCCTAGTTGCTCCGCGGCATGTGGGATCTTCCTGGACCAGGGCTCGAACCCATGTCCCCTGCACTGGCAGGAGGATTCTTAACCACTGAACCACCAGGGAAGACCCCTCTCGTAATATTTCAAACTTTTTTGGGGGTTTTTGGCCATGCCAGGCAGCATGTGGGATCTCAGTTCCCCAACCAGGGATCAAACCCACGCCCCCCTGCAGTGGAAACACAGAGTCTTAACCACTGGGCTGCCAGGGAAGTCCCAATATTTCAAACTTTTTCATCATTATTGTATTCGTTATGGTGATCTGTGACCGGTGATCATTGATGTCACTACTATGACTTGCTGAAGGCTCAGATGATGGTTAGCATTTTTTAGCCATAAATTATTTTTTAATTAAGATATGTACATTGATGGTTTAGACCTAATGCTAGCGCACACTTAATAGACTATAGTATAGTGTAAACATAACTTTTATTTTTTGGAGTTTCAGTTGATACTTGAATTTTTTTTCTAAAGTTCTTTTTTTTTAACTTTTGATTTTATATTGGAGTATAGTTGATTAACAATGTTGTGATAGTTTCAGGTATACAACAAACGTATTCAGTTATACATATACATGTATCTCTTCTTTTTCAAATTCTTTTCCCATTTAGGTTGTTACATAATATCAAGCAGAGTTCCCTGTGCTATACAGTAGGTTGTTGTTGGTTATCCATTTTACATATAGCAATGTGTACATGTCAATCCCACACTCCCTGACTCTCCCTCCCCCCAACCCCCAACCTTCCCTCCTGGTAACCATAAGTTCTTTCTCTAAGTCTGTGAGTCTGTTTCTGTTTTGTTAATAAGTTCATTTGTATCATTTCTTTTTAGATTGTGCATATAAGCGATTTCATAAGTTATTTCTCTCTCTCCCTGACGTCACTCAGTATGACAATCTCTAGGTCCATCCATGTTGCTGCAAATGGCATTATTTCATAAACATAACTAACTTTTATAGACACTGGGAAACCAAAAAAAATTCGTGTGACTCGCTTTATTGAGATCTTCGCTTAATTGCGGTGGTCTGGCGCCAACCTGAAATATGACCAACGTAGTCCTGTATATGAAACCAGGTGTCCTTAAACAGAAGCACACACAAAGCAAGGTTATATGCTGATTTGTTGATGTGAATGTTGTGACCAGAGGCTGGCAGGAACTTAGCCCCGTATTTCCCCTAGAAGCGATATACCTGTATTTGCTAACTCGGTGTTTCTAATGACTTTATAGAATATAATTATTACCAATAACAAGAATCAACTACATCAGCCCCATTGCACTTGTGGCTGGACCTGCACAACCTCAGAACTGTGGTTATTTCAGGGCTGTGCATTTTTTTAAAATTAAACTTATTTTGAGATCATTGTACACTCACGTGCAGGTGTAAGAAACAGTACGGAGAGCTCCAGAATCCTTCACACATTCTCCCCCAGTGTAACATCCTGCACAGCAAGATTGCCATCTCACAGCCAGATGTTGACATCTATCCAGTTGGTTCCCTCACCCCAAGGACCACTCATGATGCAGGGCTGTGCATTCTGAGAGGGACACTGAATTCCAGGAAGCCCCCAAGGTCAAGGGACCAGGAAAGAGATGAGAAGGAAGAGCTGAACTGGAGGGGAGGGTCCTGGGACACCGGCAGTGTCTTCAGTCTGTGCCAGGTCATCGGATGCTGGGTAGCGGAGCCAGGCCAGGGCAGGGAGGTGCGGGCAGGCCATGGAGGGGGCTTCTCAAAGCCAGCACTCAGGGCTTCAGGTGATGCTCAGAGTGTCTCCTCATGCAGGTGGAGGGAAGGGGCTGCGGAGTCCGCTGGTAGGGCTGGGAACGTGGGAATCTAGGTCGATTGGAGGCCTGCTGGGCCTCCCTGTAGTTCCAGCCCTGCCTTGTGATTTCTTTGGATTCTGTCCAGAGGAGGGGAACAGGTGGGCACTAGTCCCCTGGTTCCAGCAGGGCGTTACTGGCCAGCCCTCTGCCCCCTGATGCCTTTGTGAGGCTGCCCCGTGAACCCTAAGAGGAGGTCTCCCAACCCAGATCCCCCAGAGCAGGGCCCCCTGGTTGGGGGCCAGGGTCTTCTCTCTGGGGGAACGGAGGACTCTGCAGACAGATGCTTCACCTGTGTTGGTTCCTGTTTCCGGGGGTGGTGGTGGGGGGGGGGGTGGTGGAAGGGGGGGGCATGATACC